ACTCCTTCATTTATTTTTTTTCTCAAGAGCTTTATAATTTTAACTGTTATATTTAGGTCTTTAATACATTTCAAGTTAGTTTTTGTGTGGGTGTAAGGAAGGGGTTCAGCTTTACTTCCTTTCCATATATATATCCAGTTTTCCAGGACCAGTTTTTGAAAACTGTTCTTTCTCCATTTTATTGTCTGGTCATAAATGTAAGGGTTCATTTCCATACTCTCAATACTATTCCACTAATTTATGTGTGTGTCCTTGTGTATGCACCATGCTGTCTTTATTTCTGTAGCTTTGTATCAAGTTTTGGAATGTAAATAATGTTGTAAGCCAATGTTCTCCCAATAAATAATACAATAAAAAAGTCAAAAGTTTTGAAATCAAGAGTGTGAGTGCTTTAACTTTGTTTTGGCTTAAGATGGGTTTGACTATTTTGTGGATGCCTTGCAATTCCATATGAATTTAAGGTTTGATGGTTCAGTTTAGATGAAGAACCCAGCTAGATTTCATAAGTATTGCACATAATCTGTAGATCAACTAGGAGAGTATTGTTACCTTAACAATATTAAGTCTTCTGGCCCTCCCTGGTGGCATAACAGGTTGAAGTGCAGCACTGCAAACTAGCAGTAGCTGCTTCAGAGCAAGTTTGATCCCTGGCCCTGGAGGTGACCCACATGGTGCAGCAGACCTCTCCTATCTCACCTGCTGCTCCCCTCAGCAGTGGATTTCAGTCAATCAGCCTGTTCTGCTTCCCCTTCTGTCTGGTGAATCCTCTCACTGCCTCTGCACATCTGGCCTGTACCCCAGTTCTGTATGCATAAATAAATAAATCTTCAAAATAAACATTGTCTTCCAACTATGAAACAAGGTATGTTTTTACATTTATTGAGGTCTTCTTTCTTTCAAACATGTTCGTAATCTTTAGTGTAAAATTCATATTTAAAATAAAATTTTACTGACTTGCCATTTATTTACACAACTGTATAATTTCAGTAGTATAACTTCAAACCTTAAAGTGAAATTCTTCTCTTACCTGCCTCTAAGTCCCAGTGCTAGTACAATATCACCTTATTCCACGACCCCTCCATATCATCCTACCTCCTACCCACTGTCTTGTAACCACTATATTTTTCAGAGTTTAAAAGATATTTTTGTTATGTTTCATGAGTTTTTTCTTTGGATATTTATTTTCCACAAGTGAGTGAAAACACACAGTAAATATTTTCATTTTCTGATTTACTCCACTTAGCATTATCACCTCAAGATCAATTCATTTTGTCCCAACTATTTATATTATAAAATAGTTGAGTAGTATTCCATTGAACATATATACCATAATTTCTTTTTTTTTTTAATATTTACTTATTTATGGATACAGAACTGGGTATAGGCCAGAGGTGCAGGGACGGTGAGAGGATTCACCACACACAGAGCGGGGAGCAGAACAGGCAGATAGATGAAGCACACTGCTGAGGGGAGCAGCGGGCGGGTCGGGAAAGGTCTGCCACACCATGTGGGTACCTCCATGGCAGACTGGGATCGAACTCATGTGGAAGTGGCTTTAGCTTCTTAGTGCAGTGCTTTAACCCTCTGCGCCACCAGGGAGGGCCCTACCATAATTTCTTTATCCAGTCATCTGCCAAGGTTGACTCCATGGACTGGTTATTGTGAATAATGTTGGTATGAACATAGGAATGAATACATCTTTTCCATTAGTGTGTTAAATATATAAATAACTCATACAATCCAACCACAACAAAAACACCCAATCAATGATAGGGAAAAGATCTAAACAGTCACTTCTCCAAAGATGACATACAGATGACCAATTAAGCACATGAGAGAATGTTCAACATCACTTGTAAGAGACATGTAAATCCAAACCATAAAATATCATCTCACTCCTTTGATAATGGACTATAACAAAAAAGAAAGGAAACAAGTGTTTGCAGTGGTATGGAATAAGAGGAACATTCATTCACTGCTGGTGGGAATGTAATTTGTTTCATCCTTTATGGAAAGCAGAATGGTGCCTCTTTAAAGAACTAAAAGTAGAAATACTATAAGATCCAGCAATACCACTCCTAGGTAATTTTACACCACTTGGTGTAAAATTTTTACACTTTCATTAAATTCTGTTCATATGTTTTCATTATTTTTTAAATTTTTAAATTGAGATAATATTAATTTACAATACTATATAGGTTGCAGGTATACAATTTCACACCACACCTACTATCAAATATTCAGTAATCATTCACCACCAATCAATTGATTCCCTATATACCATCCCTCCTTCTTCGCCTCTGGTAACCAACATTCTTGTCAGTCAAAGGCTTCATTTTTCTCTCTTCAGACTGTATATAAACTTTAGTCATTTATTTTTTTGATGTTATTGTAAATGGAATTGTTTTCAAATTACTCATAACACGTATATGAAATACAAGTGATTTTAGATATTAACCTTATATCCTGTAACATCTAAAAACTAAATTCATTTATGCAGATAGCTGTGAGTATGTGAAGGGCATGGATATGTCTGATTTTAGGAAAGAGTACACTGAATAAGTCAGGACAAGCATAATACCACCTACTTAGCATATTTGTGATAGGTCTGTGCCTTTAATATGCATATGAAACTTGTAAATCTAGATGAAATACAGAATGTTGTCATTGGATCTGGGATGTAGCCTTCAATAATACCTTGGCTAGGTATTTATCCAAAGAACGTGAAAAGCCTAATACAACAAGACTTATGCACCCTTATGTTCATAACAGCACCGTTCACAATTGCCAAGTTATGGTACCAACCTAAGTGCCCAAGGACAGATGGCTAGAAAATTCTATATAGGTAGAATATATAGTCAATGGAGTACTACTCAGCTATTTAAAAGGGTAAAATGCTTCAGTTACAAAATGGATGGACCTCAAGATGATTATACTAAGTGATAAAAGTCAGAAGACAAAAGAGAAAGATTGGATGGTTTCATTTATCTGTGTAACATTAATAACCAAAAATCATATATACTGGCAAAACACAACAAAATTTATCTTTGGATATTTATGTTCCACAAGTGAGTGAAAACATACAGTAAATGTTTTCATTTTCTCATTTATTCCACTTAGCATTATCACCTCAAGATCAATTCATTTTGTCCCAAAGGCACTAGTTTATGCTATTAAATAGTTGAGTAGTACTCCATTCTTAAGAGTTAGTAAAAAAGAATACACTGGAATTAAGCCTTTCTAACAATTAGGTAGATACATAGCAGGTGGCTTTCATTTATCATTATTTTTAAAAATATTTTATTTATTTATGTATACAGAACTGGGGTACAGGCCAGAGGTGCAGGGGCAGTGAGAGAATTCACCAGAGACAGAGTGGGGAACAGAAGAAAAGAATAGGCAGAACTGCTGAGGGGAGCAGCGGGCGGGTCAAGCAGTGGATAACCTCTAGGGCCAGGAATTGAACTCACACTGAAGTGGTCACTGCCAGCTTCATAGTGCGGTGATCCAACCTGCTGCACCACCAGGGAGGGCCCTCATTTATTATTCTTAACCCACAGCAACCCTACAATATACATATCATTGTCTCCATTGTAAAGAAAATGACCTCAAAATTTGGGCACATAACTCAAGTTCATAGACTAATGAGTAAAGCCAGATTTTGAAGAACTTATTCTCATGACAAAGCTGGACTCTTTTTATTCTGCAATATTGGACCTGGGACAGGAGGAGGTCAGTTGGCACATGAACAGTGTTTGCATGGGGGTGTGGGAAGGGTTAGAGGAGCTGCCCAGAGTGCATTTGGGTCTAAACCTTGAGGCTATCTTGAAGAGCTGATTGATGAGGACCTTGCTTTCCAGGTTGCTAAAAGTAAAAGGGTAAGATTACACTCTCACGTAGGAGGCAATAGCTATCGGGGAGGAGGTTTTGAAAGTGGCTCATCTTTGATCAGAATTGACTCCAAAACTGGACTCTGTATACTCCTGAGGTCTATACTTGAGATTATATTTATTGCGGACTCTTCACAAGTTAGAAATTATTTTACTGGTGATAATGAATGATGCAGTATCCATATGCTCCCTGAGGGGGCAGGGAAATAGGCTTTGGGAAGCAGGTAAAACCCTGTTCATATGGCTCCCTCTTAAATACTTCGGGTAGGTAATCAAGAATTTCTTTCCAATACCTTTTTAGCAGAACATTAGTGTACTTCTAACACCTTAGTCAAAACACATGAGATATATATTTTGTCCTTAGCACCTTTTATTGAAGTACGACCCTTGATGACAATCTGGCGGCATCTCAATGTCAACCAAGAAGGGAGTGGTGGAGGACAAAAATTCATAAACAATAAGATTCAGAAAAAGAATAGCTTCACATGGTATAGATGACCCCCAACAGTTGTACAACAAACACTGGTTCTTTATCTATAGAAATTGTCCCCTGCCCCCACCCCCCAAGATCTACTAATCTTCAAAGAATACAAGGCACTGTTGCAGAATTAGTGTTGACACAGACAACTCCTTTGGCAAAGGCAGTGGGAGTCACCAAGTTCCATGTGATAGGAAGTGGCCAGAAATGTGTCCAGTTTCTCCCATCTGGGACTTGCTACTGGCAGAGCAGCACCTTCATGGAGACTGGGGTTCAGGTTGTGACTGGCATCCCTGGGCAAGTTTTTGGTGTATGAGGTTAAATGGAAAACAGAACCTGAATCTCACCTTGAAAAAAGAGGTCTTCACCTTTTTACCCTCTCTGTTCCTCTCTCCCATTGTAGGTCTCTCTCTCTCTCTCTCTCTCTCTCTCTCTCTCTCTCTCTCTCTCTCT